ACTGCTGAATCTGTAGAGGCCGATCTGCTGACAGTCATGAAGTGGAAATAAACCCTCCTATCCTTTACAGCCAAGAAAGCTGCTTCTGTTTGATCTACAACTGCCATGGTGCTGCACATGTGATCAGTTATGGCACCTGACATTTGATGGTTTGACAGTTTGGCTGAGAGCACAAGCAAATGTGATAATTAGCATTCCCGGCATTCCAGGAATGTGACACTTTATGATGTACTTCAGTTCAGGGGCTCTGGACTTCAGCAAAATGGCAGCCTCCAGCAAGAAGAAACAGAACAATGCTGGAGGCAATTTACAGCACACACTCATTTTGGTAGCATAATTATTAATGTGGAATGTATGTTCCTTGCTAAAGAAGATTTTTTACTATCAGGTTGTTATAGGTAAAGTTCTGCTTTAAGTAAAGAGAAGTTAAGTGAGGTTACCAACCTGGCCATCCTGCCTGGAACTGATACCTGGGTCACAAAACTGGCTACACACAAGTTAAGACAGCATCTATATTAACTGTGTATATAGTTCATTACTTTGGGTTCAGCTTTCAAATTATTGGTCTATGTTGATCACACATCAACCATGTGCTCAATTCTAAGCATCACCTTTAATGTTGTATATGTATTGTTAAAAGTCATTAATGTGTAATGTTTTGGGACCAGCTGCATTTCAGTGCTGCTCTACAGTTTGTCATCACTAACTAAAAAGGCTCTAATGATATAAATGTATATATAAATAGATATTCATATTTCAAAATCATGTGTTTTAAATGAAATACAGGTAGCACTAGATCACTGGAAATCCCATTAAAGAATGAACTATCCTTTTTTTCAGATTGTTACAAGTATACTTTTATTTTGCAGGTATACAAGAAGGCACCCAGTGTACAAAGTGTAAAAATAACTGGGCACTGAAATTTTCGATCATTTTGCTGTATATTCTATGTGCCTTACTCACCATCACAGTTTCCATACTAGGATATAAAGGTATGTGCTTTTATCACACAAAAAATTCCATGGTAAATTTTACAGTTAGATAAAATTACTTTAGAGAGTTTAAAAAACTTAGGTATAGAGTAGAGAAAATAGGAGATTGATAATGTTGATAAAATGTTGGCAGAAAAAAAAAAATTAAGCAATATTCTGCCTTTTTGCACACCATGTGCAGAAATGTGCGCTTTTCTACATGTATGTTTTCTTTATGCCTCATTCACACCCAGGGGCGGACTGAAAACTCATGGGGCCCCTGGACAATAGGGGATCATGGGGCCCCTGTGTCCTTGCCCAAACTCAAAAAAGCCTATGAAAAAGGTACCAGGGGCATCTCATGGGGCCCCCTACTGACCCCGGGCCCTCGGGCAGTGCCCGAGTTTACAAATGGTCAGTCCCGACCCTGTTCACACCACAACACTAGTGTTATGTGGTCATCTTTTCTGTGCAGAAATATGCCACATGTACTGTACGCATTTTTTCTGCACAGAAAAAAAAACTCATATGACAACATCATTGTGGTGTGTGAACAGGGCACATAGAAAAAAATTTTCTTTGTATCCTTGAAGAGACCTGTGTTACAAAAAAATGCATGTCTCTGCACAGTGTGAACAAGCCCAAACGTTTAATTTGAGCATTAAAATGAATACACAAATTAAGGAAAATGCTAAGATCAAAAATAACACCTATAAATATATTTCAGCAAATCATACTAAGAGTGTTTGGAAAGAAATAATCATTGTAATATGAAATAGTATAGGCTTAAAAGAGAAGTATGACAAAAGCTTGTGACCCAGAGTGAACCTCTAGAGCAGTGGTGGGCAACCTTTTTTTTCAACTGAGCCAAATCTCGCCAAAACCACAATTGAAATTTATTTTGAGAGCCACATTTTTAAAACTGAAAATACATAGGATGGTACACTGTTTTTAGTTTCAATAAGTTTTTATAGTAATTCATCCCCCATAGTAATTCATCCCCCATATAGTAATTCATCCCCCATAGTAATTCATCCCCCATAGTAATTCATCCCCCATAGTAATTCATCCCCCATATAGTAATTCATCCCCCATATAGTAATTCATCCCCCATATAATAATTCATCCCCCATAGTAATTCATCCTCCATATAGTAATTCATCCCCCCTATAGTAATTCATCCCCCATAGTAATTCATCCCCCCATATAGTAATTCATCCCCCATATAGTAATTCATCCCTCATATAGTAATTCATCCCCCATATAGTAATTCATCCCCCATAGTAATTCATCCCCCATATAGTAATTCATCCCCCATAGTAATTCATCCCCCATATAGTAATTCATCCCCCATATAGCAATTCATCCCCCATAGTAATTCATCCCCCATATAGTAATTCATTCCCCCATATAGTAATTCATCCCCTCCTATAGTAATTCATCCCCCATATAGTAATTCATCCCCCATAGTAATTCATCCCCCATATAGTAATTCATCCCCCATAGTAATTCATCCCCCATAGTAATACATCCCCCATATAGTAATTCATCCCCCATATAGTAATTCACCCCCCATATAGTAATTCACCCCCCATATAGTAATTCATCCCCCATAGTAATTCATCCCCCATAGTAATTCATCCCCCATATAGTAATTCATCCCCCATAGTAATTCATCCCCCATTATAGTAATTCATCCCCCATAGTAATTCATTCCCCATATTAAGTCCCCAAGTCCCCCTGTGTCAATTCACTTACCTTTGCTCCGCGCGTTCCTCTCGCCGTTTTCCCCCCGCGCCGTTCCGGTCTTCAGGGCGGACTGTGAGAGGAGCCTAGCTCCCCTCACGCTCGTCACGCTGCCCCGCCTACACACATCCTGACAGCCACTGTCAGGAATGGACTGGCCAGCAATGGTGGGACTCACCTGCCTTTTGATCTGCAGTACCAGGGCTGGCCAGCGGGTGCTCCAGCAATCAGAGACTCAACCTTTCAGCCAGCTAACACCTGGAACTGATGATACTGGTGTATTTAAGGGATGGCCAGACTTGCAGACTCTGCCTTGGTGTTGTGTTTGTCCTGGGCCCTGTATCTGTCCTGCATCCTGTTTCTGTTCCTTTGCTACCTGTTCTGATCCCTGGCTTGTGACCCTGACCATCCCTCTGCCTGACCCTCTGTACTACGCTGCTTGCTACCTGTTCTGATCCCTGGCTTGTGACCCTGACCATCCCTCTGCCTGACCCTCTGTACTACGCTGCTTGCTACCTGCTGAACCTGGCCTGTGACCCCGACCATTCTCCGCTTGCTCCCCCTGTACCTACCTGCCCAATTGATATTGACTCGGCCTGCCTGACGACGCTTGCTTGTATGTACTGTTATCTGTGGGTGGTTGGTTGGGTTTGTTTGCACTGTATTATGTTTAGTATTGCACTGCGTTTATGTTTGTATTGTTAGTGTTAATAAATTACATTGTTAATCACATATCTGAAGTCTGCGTTCCCTGCTTCAGTCACACACCTCTGGTCATACCTGGGAGCCCTGACATTACACCAAGGCCAATCCTGACCAGAAGTGGCTGCACAGGGAAGCCATCTTGGCTTGTTGATGGGAAGGATGGATCTGGATGAGGTTGCGTATTTATATCTGCTAGTGTTTGATGACAGGGAGTATGCTTATCAAACTCTGAAGGAGTATACCCGGGATGAACTGCTAGAATGTATACGGCTCGCTCATGTTCTAGTAGATCAGGGCACAGAGTTCTCTGAGGTGCAGCCTTTGATTGAGGTTTGTGCAGAGTTGGTTTCATCTGGTACCCCCGAATGCAGGGATGAATTTTTGCCACCATTTAGTGCAGACCAGGTAGAGTCCCTGGTGTGGTTATTAGAGGATGATGATGTGGGTTACTTTCTGGAGCGTTATTCCACATGTTCACCACAGACACTAAGAGATTGTATAAACGCAGTGCAGTCATTGACCAGACAGGCTTTGTGTAAGCTCAGCTTTGTTCAACCCATACTGCAGACATGGACAGACTTGTTGCACCCAGCCTCAGTCAGCTTACAAAAACCCAGTCCTGCTTCTAACTCTACTCCTGTATTCCCACCAGCTCCTCCAGTTACAGCCCAGTATACTTGGCTATCTACCGCATGTCAGTACCCCGTTCCCACTCGCTGCACCTATCCTGCCTTTTAACCCTGTAAAAAAGCCCTCTGTAGCAACTGCTCCCTCTCCTGTTCCATCCTCCAGTTCTTCTCTGTCTCCAGCTGCTCCATTCGTTTGCAGACCTGCGTTTACTTGCAGTGCTCCAGTAGTTAAAACCAGAAAAAAAAGCGAAAATTTCTTTCCAACCAATACCATCCTGCCAGTATCCAAACCGGTGAGCCTGCCTTCCGTGACTCAGCCTGAAGCCTCTACTCAGCCTGATGCCTGTACTCAGCCTGATGCCTGTACTCGGCCTGATGCCTGTACGCAGCCTGATGCCTCTCTTCAGCCTGATGCCGGTACGCAGCCTGATGCCTCTCTTCAGCCTGATGCCTGTATGCAGCCTGATGCCTCTCTCTTCAGCCTGAAGCCTCTACTCGGCCTGAAGCCTCTACTCGGCCTGAAGCCTCTACTCGGCCTGATGCCTCTACTCGGCCTGAAGCCTCTACTCGGCCTGATGCCTCTACTCGGCCTGAAGCCTCTACTCGGCCTGAAGCCTCTACTCGGCCTGATGCCTCTACTCGGCCTGAAGCCTCTACTCGGCCTGATGCCTCTACTCGGCCTGAAGCCTCTACTCGGCCTGATGCCTCTACTCGGCCTGAAGCCTCTACTCGGCCTGAATGCCTCTACTCGGCCTGATGCCTCTACTCGGCCTGAAGCCTCTACTCGGCCTGAAGCCTCTACTCGGCCTGATGCCTCTACTCGGCCTGATGCCTCTACTCGGCCTGATGCCTCTACTCGGCCTGAAGCCTCTACTCAGCCGGACGCCGGCATTCAGCCTGATGCCTCTACCCAGCATGATGAACTGATCCAGCCTGACGATCCTATTAGGCCAGTTGACTCGATGCCCGCTGTTGATCCAGATGATCCGGTACCTGATCCGGTGCCCGCTGTCGTGCCAATTGACTCAGAGCCCGCTGTCGTACCTGGTGACTCGGTGCCCACTGCCTTGCCAGATGACGCGGTGCCCGCTGGCGAGCCAAATGACCTGATGCCTGGTGACCCAGTGCCCGCTGTCATACCTGGTGACCCGATGCCCGCTGTCGAGCCAGACGATCCAATGCCTGGTGACCCGGTGCCCACTGCCTTGCCAGATGACGCGGTGCCCGCTGGCAAGCCAAATGACCTGATGCCTGGTGACCCAGTGCCCGCTGTCATACCTGGTGACCCGATGCCTGCTGTCGAGCCAGACAATCCGGTACCTGATGACCCGGTGCCCACTGTCGTGCCTGTTGACTCGGAGCCCACTGCCTTGCCAGATGACGCAGTGCCCGCTGTCGAGCCAAATGACCTGATGCCTGGTGACCCGATGCCCGCTGTCTAGCCAGACGATTCAATGTCTGCCCCAGTGCCCGCGGTCATGCCAGTTGACTCGGAACCCACTGCCTTGCCAGATGACGCGCGGTGCTCGCTGTCAAGCCAAATGACTTGATGCCTGGTGACCCGATGCCGCTGTCCAGTCAGACGATCCAATGTCTGACCCAGTGCCCGCGGTCATACCAGTTGACTCGGAGCCCACTGCCTTGCCAGATGACGCGGTGCCCGCGGTCGAGCCAAATGACCTGATGCCTGGTGACCCAGTGCCCGCTGTCCGGTCAGACGATCCAATGTCTGACCCAGTGCCCGCGGTCATACCAGTTGACTCGGAGCCCACTGCCTTGCCAGATGACGCGGTGCCCGCTGTCGAGCCAAATGACCTGATGCCTGGTGACCCGATGCCCGCTGTCCAGCCAGACGATCCAATGTCTGACCTAGTGCCAGCGGTCATGCCAGTTGACTCGGAGCCCACTGTCGTGCCTGGTGACTCGGTGCCTGCTGCTCCGCCGGGGGGCCCGATGCCTGTCGCCCCGCCTGGGAGCCCGATGCCTGTCGCCCCGCCTGGGGGCCCGATGCCTGTCGCCCCGCCTGGGGGCCCGATGCCTGTCGCCCCGCCTGGGGGCCCGATGCCTGTCGCTCCACCTGGGGGTCCGGCTCCCGCCGCTCCGCCTGAGGGCACGAGACCTGTCGCTCCACCCGGGGGTCCGGCGCCCGCCGCTCCGCCTGAGGGCCCGAGGCCTGTAGTTCCGCCTGGGGGTCCGGCGCCCGCCGCCCTGCTTGGGGGCCCCGATGCCTGTCGCCCCGCCTGGGGGCCCGATGCCTGTCGCCCCGCCTGGGGGTCCGATGCCTGTCACCCCGCCTGGGGGCCCGAGGCCTGTCGCTCCATCTGGGGGTCCGGCACCCGCCGCTCCGCCTGAGGGCCCGAGACCTGTAGTTCCGCCTGAGGGCCCGAGACCTGTCGCCCCCGCCCGGGGGCCCTTGGCCTGTCGCCCCGCCCGGGGGCCCGAGGCCTGTCGCCCCGCCCGGGGGCCCAGTGCCTGCCGCTCCGCCCGGGGGCCCGGTGCCTGCCGCTCCGCCCGGTGGCCCGCTGCCTGCCGCTTCGCCTGGTAGCCCGATGTGCCTCTGCCCGATGTGCCTCTGCCCGGAGTCCTGCCCGATGTGCCTCTGCCCGGAGTCCTGCCCGATGTGCCTCTGCCCGGAGTCCAGCCCGATGTGCCTCTGCCCAGTGTGCCTCTGCCCGGAGTCCAGCCCGATGTGCCTCTGCCCGGAGTCCAGCCCGATGTGCCTCTGCCCGGAGTCCAGCCCGATGTGCCTCTGCCGGAGTCCAGCCCGATGTGCCTCTGCCCGGAGTCCAGCCCGATGTGCCTCTGCCCGGAGTCCAGCCCGATGTGCCTCTGCCCGGTGTACCGCTGCCCGGAGTCCTGCCCGTGTGTGCCAGTCTTTGATATCCCGCCAGTTACCAGACCCGGGCGGTGGAACATTTTTCCCAGCTAGGACTGTTTGGAGCATCCTGAGGCCGCTCCTTGAGGGGGGGGTACTGTCAGGAATGGACTGGCCAGCAATGGTGGGACTCACCTGCCTTTTGATCTGCAGTACCAGGGCTGGCCAGCGGGTGCTCCCAGCAATCAGAGACTCAACCTTTCAGCCAGCTAACACCTGGAACTGATGATACTGGTGTATTTAAGGGATGGCCAGACTTGCAGACTCTGCCTTGGTGTTGTGTTTGTCCTGGCCCTGTATCTGTCCTGCATCCTGTTTCTGTTCCTTTGCTACCTGTTCTGATCCCTGGCTTGTGACCCTGACCATCCCTCTGCCTGACCCTCTGTACTACGCTGCTTGCTACCTGTTCTGATCCCTGGCTTGTGACCCTGACCATCCCTCTGCCTGACCCTCTGTACTACGCTGCTTGCTACCTGCTGAACCTGGCCTGTGACCCCGACCATTCTCCGCTTGCTCCCCTGTACCTACCTGCCCAATTGATATTGACTCGGCCTGCCTGACAACGCTTGCTTGTATGTACTGTTATCTGTGGGTGGTTGGTTGGGTTTGTTTGCACTGTATTATGTTTAGTATTGCAATATGTTTGTATTGTTAGTGTTAATAAATTACATTGTTAATCACATATCTGAAGTCTGCGTTTCCCTGCTTCAGTCACACACCTCTGGTCATACCTGGGAGCCCTGACAGCCACATCCGCGGGCCGGATTAAAAGGTCCTAACTTTTGGGGCGGCCGCCCGAGAGGAGGGAGGGGAGCGGGCGCCCGGCACACAGAAGAGCCGCATTAGCTTGTGTAAAGAGCCGCGGCTTGCCGACCCACTGCTCTAGAGGGCTATTGCTGCTTTCAGCTGACATGCCAGAGCTGTGCCAGGCTCAGGAAGAATCCCAGCAATATTGTCAGGATCCACCTGGCTGCCTGATTGACAGGTGGATTCACCTTTCAGAGGTGGCAGAGAGCTGGAGCTAGCCATACCTGCTCCCTCTGCAGTCTGCTGCTCCAGTGAGCACTGGAGAAACAGAGCAGAAAGCGGTGACTGACACTGCGAGCAGACTGAGAGCTTGGCAATCAGCAGTCATGTGATCACTTAGTTTTCTGTCTTAGCTCGGGTTCACATTGATGCGGTGCGGAATTCGCAGTGTTTTCTGTGCGAATTCCGCACCGCATCACAATCGCACCCCGTTCATGCTAACCGCTGCCGGTGTGTATGTTAACAACACCCCGAAATCGGTCCGCAAAATGTGGTGCGATGTGCAAAATCGGATCGCATAGGTGTGAATACCCATGGTATCCGATTCTAGTGCGGACCAAAAAAGGGTCCTGCACCTTTTTGGTACAGGTGCAGTGCAATTAGAGCCATACTCAGCATGGGACCGCTGCATGCTGGCCCTAAGACAGAGAATTAAGCGATCACATGACTACTGATTGTTGCTGATCGCAGCATGGAGGTGAGTATGGTCGTTTGTTTTTTTTTAATAAGCCCATACTTTTCCTTTAAGCCCAGTGGCATCTGCTTTGTAGCACGTCCTGCAAACATCTGTTCTGCTGGTGACCCATTCAAGTTCCAAAAAAAGAAGACAATGCTGCACACTGGCAACAAGTAACTTTAATCACCTTAAACAATAGACTTAGGAGATGAGTCACATTTTAATAGATGTGCATCATTTTTTGAAAGCTGATATCCGGAATTTGTTTAAAAATACCCTTGCATTGGGGACCTCCTGCACTGTCTGTTAGGTCTGGGAATAGAGAAATAAGCTATAAATACTTACCTTTTTCCATGCTCCAGCACTCTTCCCACACTCCCCACTTCTCTCTGATGTGTCGAGCTTGGCCTCACCTGTCCTTATGTACAATACAGGACTGCTGGTTCTACATTGTATGAGACAACATCAGAGTGCAACCACCAGCCACAGTGCCAAAAAGAAAAGGCTTCTTGGACAACCCATCTTGTAAGGAGTGTTTGTAGCATGTCATATTAACAGCCCCTATGTGATTAACTACTTTCCCTCAGCCCTATAGCAGTTTTACTGCTACAGGGTGGCATTCCTGTGCAAAATCACATATATAAATGTAATTTTACATTTCTGCAACACAGTGTGCGCTGCCGGAGGAAGTATTCAGCTGCGAATTGTCACAGCATAAAATGATCTGCAAGCCCTGGTGAGTAGTTGCTCACTGGCACCTGCAGATCGTCAGTCAGGGAGGAAGGACAGAGCTATGGCTATATTTATATAGCCATAGCACTGTTGTGACAGGGGAAAGTCATGAATAGTTTCTCTCTGTAGAGCTGAGAACATGATCCATTACTTCCCATAGTAAAAGTACCATCTAGTGTACATCAAGCACATGGCTAGGCACACACTTAACATTTTGATCACCCTAGATGTTAACCCTTGTACAGTGTCAGTGCATATTTTTAG